GTCGCGGTCCCCCCCCCCCCCCCCCTAGAGGTAGCCATCTTTAAAACTGTGACCGCCTACCGGCCCCGATCACCCTGTAGTACACCCCACCCTTCCGTTGACCTCTCCACATTGTCTATCTCATCATAACCTTGACTGTCGTCTCGTCTTTGTCCGCTGCCCCCAGGAAATTTTGGCCTCCCCTCCTATCTGGGAGACAAAACACCAGCTGGTGTGGCCGCTGTTGAGCCAGAACGACAGGATGGGTCATTTCCAGCAACCGTATGACCCGAGCTCGGGCTCCTGTGATGGGCATGGTGTAAGTTGAACTTGCCTCGTCCAGCATCCTGATCTGTAACCGACACCCATTTGCTTACAACCTGCCCTCTCGCCGCCCGCTCCAGGTCCCCGATACGAGCACGGGACGTGACCCATCACCGTATGTAGTACCATGCTCTCTTGTACATCAAGTACGGGTCTAGTCTTACTAACATGGTCGAGCAGGCTCTCGAGATCGCTCACTGAGAGCATTAGGACGGTCTACAAAGAAAACGGAAGGACGTACCACTCTTACCGCGCCGGATGTGAGTGGAGACTTACCAGCTCCTCCAGGCCGCGGGAGCGGCCGATGGGCTTCGGCTCCCTGGCTAACACTTGTCACTCAGCCTACCCGTTCCCCAACGACGAGGAAGAGAATGAGCGACTAGAGCTGCAATATACAGCACTAAAAGAGGCCATGGGAGGCAGAAATTACCTTGCGCCATTCACAGGAGAGAACCCTCCACGAGATGTCCTCGACATCGGAACCGGGCCTGGACAGTGGGCTTTGGAGGTGGCAGACGAGTTTCCAGAGGTACTTGCTCCTACGCCCTCCATCACCAGCCCTTGGATCATGACTGTCGACGCGATGGGATCGGGCCCCGCTGCAGGCCACGGTGATAGGAACGGATCTGAGCCCATCGACAATGCCGGATTTTGTGCCAGAGAATCTCAAACTTTACGTCGAAGACGCGTAGGCTACCCCCTGCTCCCCAGCCTCTGTACGTGGTGAGCCGGGATGTGGAAACTGACAATCTCACATTCCCTAGGAACGATGAGTGGGACTACGAATACCCTTTTGACTTCATCCACACACGCATGACGTTTAGCTGCTGGTCGGACATGAAGTCACAAGTTATAGAGAAGGCGATGAGACACCTGCACCCAGGGGGATGGCTCGAGTGCCAAGAGACCCACGGCATCTTCCAGTGCGACGACGGCTCGATACCTCCTGGTTTTGCGCCCAACCTGTGGGCTCACAACATGCAGGTTGCGGGGGACGCCGGCCGCATCCAGATGGGAATCGCGCCCAAGATGGCGGGCTGGTTCCGGGAGGCTGGGTTCATCGACGTCCAGGAGGTCATCCTCCGGCTCCCAGTTGGCGCATGGGACAGAACAGATGACCACCAACGAGTCTTGGGTGCGCTATGGCTCAAGAACCTGGACTGGGGGCTTTCGTCCATAACGATGGCCCTTTTCCACAGGTATCTGGGCATGACCAAGGAGCAGATCGAGGTGTTTCTGGTCGACGTGCGGAAGGGCATCAGAAACCCGAGCATCCATTCGTACCAGACACTATATGTCGTCTGGGGGAGGAAACCTAGGCCGGGGGAGAAGGCAGATGGGGCAGAGAAAAAAGAGAGGTAGATGGGCGAGATGGGCAGGCAGAAGTTGGGATTTTGCTCGAGAAAAGAACATGGGTAACTTGCAGTCGTTGAGCTTTCATGTTTATTTTCCCTTTTCGCTATGGATCCTGACACAGCGCTTTGCAGGCTTATTAGTGCACCTAATCGCACAAACTGGTGGGGCGGCCTTTGCTGTTTTCGGTTGGTTTGTAATGAAAATTTAATGCATGTGGGTGGGTTCTTCAGTGAGCGTGCTGGCTGTTCTCGCCCGAAATGCACTGCACTGATGATTGGCCAAGTTGGCCGAGAACTAGAGACAACTTCGTTGGCACAAATCCGCCCCACAACTGTACTGACTGCTCACAACGGCCTGGGCCTGCCCCCAAGACAACAATTCAAAGCCCACAGGCCCACAGACACAGTCCCCTGGTCGCCAAGGATTGCTGTGTTATGGGCCGTGCTTGGGCTCAATGTGATCCGAGCCGTGCCTCTGCTGTCACACGCGGTTGCGATTTCCCTTCGCTTTAGGCTCGCGCAGTCGAGTCCATTGATTGTTGCCAGCTCCCGGCAGCCGCCCGAACAACCCTCCAGACCACCCGCGGCCCCCCCCCCCATCGCCCATCATGGCCAGCAGCAAACGCGCCGCCGCTCGAAATGAGAAGATCCTGCAGGACCTAGTCCAGGGCCAGACCTGCGCCGACTGCCAGGCGCGGAACCCAGGTAAGCCGTCCCCGATGCTTGCTTTCCGGGCTTGGAGACCGATACCAAGCCCGCCCAAGCCCGCCGCCGCTCGCCATTGAGCCGGTCCTTCCATCCTTCCCGTTGACTGCGAGTCTGGGTTCCGTCCGTAGACTAATTTCCAGGGCAGCATGGGCAAGCTGGAGTGTAAGCCTCGACCCCTCCCTCGCCAGCAATCGCGACGGATAATCATCGCGAAGCAGCCAACGCCGCCCGCCCTCACGACTCCCCCGTCCCCCATCCCCAGACAAGGTCAGGATGTACGCTGCTGACACTTGTCCGATGCGCGCAGCTCGGCGTCTTTCTTTGCATGCGATGTGCTGCAATACATCGCAAGCTAGGGACGCACATCTCCAAGGTCAAGTCCCTCAGTATGGACAGCTGGTCCAACGAACAAGTCGATGTGAGCACGCCCCTTGTTCTTTCCTCCACCCCCTTCATCGGCCGCGTTTCAGAGAGCACCCGTCCTGACTCGGCGGGTCTTGTGTGCAACCACAGAACATGCGCAAGGTCGGCAACGCCACGTCCAACAAGATATATAACCCCCAAAACAAGAAGCCGCCGGTGCCAGTCGATGCCGATGAGGTGGACTCGGCCATGGAGCGCTTCATCCGCCAAAAGTACATGAACAACTCGGTCTCGGGTGCCATGCGGCACAACACAGGCAGCACTGAGTCCGACGAGACCCCTCCGCCGTTGCCACCCAAAACTCCCAGCCGCTTCGGCTTCCGGTCCGCGTCTTCGATATTCCCCCTGTCCTCCAAGGCGAAGAAGGAAATGGCGTCTTCTTCGGGGCGGCGCCCGCCCTCCTCCCGCGACGGCCAGGATCGCAATGATCCCGACTCCCCGCGCAACAAACCGTCCAGGGTCTTTGGCGCCTCGGTGCAGTACGAGGGGGGTGCCGACGACACCGAGGTGAAACTGGCCAGGCTACGCGACATGGGCTTCCTCGACGACCAGCGGAACTCCGTGGTGCTGCGTGGGATGGGCGGCAATATCGAAAAGACGGTTGAGGCCCTCGTGCGGCTGGGTGAAGGGGACGGCCGGCCAGTAAGGCTAGCGACTTCGCCGAGAGACCCTGTCGGCCCGATCCAGCGGGCCGTTACACCAACGTCGACGCTCAGCGTCCCTCAACCTGGGAGGGCACAGTCGCCAGCGTCGCCGTCCCCATCCACCAACCCGTTTGACATGCTAGATCTAGCGCCTGCGCAGCCGCAGTCATCCCAGTCGACAGGCACCCTCCAGAACAAAAATCCGTACAACAGCCCAACGAACCCCTTCGCCGTTTCGCCACAGCAGGGTCTCGTGCTCGACCAAGCTCTTCAGAACATGTCGCTCTCGCCATCGCAACCTCTGTTTCCGCATCACACGGGTGGGTTTGGCGGAGTCACGCAGGGTCAGGTAGTACATCAACAGGGCCAGTTGCAGGTGGGCATGCAGCGGCAGCAACTGCAACAGCAACAACAGCAGCAACTCCAACAACAGCCCCAGTATGCGGCATATCCACAGCAAGTGGTATTGCCAAATCCGGCCATGGCCCAGACCATGATGTTTACCGGGAACCAGGCATTCCCACCCCCGCCTGTTCAGCAACCGATGCTGACGGGGAACAACCCCTTTTTTACGAACACTACTGTCCCACAGCAGCAGATGCCGCAAGTGCCCCTGTCGGTAAACACGGCAGCATCGCCGCTCGTGCAGTATGGCGGTAACCCTTTCCTTCCGAAATCCCCGGCACGTGTGCAGTCCCCGTCGATGCTAGCACAGATCCCGGAGCAGGGTCAGCAGCAGGACTTTTACGCCAGCCCTGCCCCTCTGCAGCAGCCGTGGTCGGATCCGGTCTCGGCGCTGCCATATGCCTCGCCGCTCAGTGCTACAACGCAGAACAACCCCTTTTTCACTTCGGCGCAGCCTTTGATGCAGCCGCAAGCGCCTCCACGGGCGGACACGGCTTCCATCATGGCGCTCTTTAACGCCCCACAGCCGTCGACCAACCCGTTCCAGCCTCAGATGACGGGCCAGCCACCAGCACCGACGCCCCACCCTCTATTCCAAGGACAGCTGGCAGCGTCGCAACTCCAGCCACAGTACCAACAACAGTACCAACAACAGCAACAGCAACAGCAACAGCAACAGCAACAGCAACAGCAACAGCAACAGCAACAGCAACAGCAACAGCAACAGCACCAACAAGCCCAGCTTCAAACCCAAAGCCTGGGCGTGCAGTCGGCGGCCGGGGTCTTGGCAAGTCCATTAGCTTCAGGAAACAAGAACCCATTTTTGAGTCTTGGCGGCGGCGGCACGATGGACGCCACAGCCGGGACCGGCTTTGGTGGCGCCAGGAGTCGAGACAGCGTGCTGGCACAAGGCCTGGAGTGGAGCAATGGGCGCCATAGCCCCGATGCCTTTGCCAGTCTCAGCGCCAGAGACATGCGATGAGGGGACTGGCCCGGCTACGCGGTCAATTTGTAAAAAAATAAAATTGTGTCAGGCGACCTGTCGGAGGAGTCTAGTGAGGGGCCGGCTGCAAGTTTGGAGACCAGTGGCTGGAATGCCCGGCTAGACGCCCCTAACTTCTGTTGCTGCAAGTAAGAATTGGGACCATGTAAAATGGGGCTTTTGTATATCACCCGCCGAGGGCTGGCCAGGGCTCTGTTTGTTGTACAGCTAACTTATGGGGGTTCGTTCTAGGGGGTAAGGGAGAGGGCGCCAAGCCTGCCTGGAGCAGTTTTATCATGCATGTACCTGGTAGGCAGGTAGACATTACACTAATTGGTTAATAAGCGCATAGTGCTCATTGTGGTGGCCAGTTGGAAGCCGTGAGACTCGAGGTACCGGACATCAATGATGTTGTGTTGTCAGCGTTGGTGGCACCCAGTGGATTCTGTCAGCACGAAGGATGGGCGGGGTTGGTCAGGTTGCATCGATAAGGCCACCCGTCTGGGCCAGCCGTCCAGGCCCCGAGCCAACAAAACTACGCAGCCAGCCAGGTACTCGTGCTGCTGCTACTGCGGCTGAAATGAGGGCCCGATGGCTGACACCACTCACATGAGGAGAAGGGAGAGGCTGGCCTGAGGGGCGCATGTGGTACCCGGCTGCCTACATGGAGGGGCATGCGGCCGCTAACCTTACCTCCCAGGCCGGTGGGGTACATTAACACGGGGCACATGAAGACGCTCAGCTCTGCTCCATCGCCACCTTTATCGAGGACGAGTTTCTTACATGACACGGATTCCCTTCAAAAGGGTTGGCGCAGCCTTGCAGAGAGAGATAGGAACAAAGGGGGTGAGACGTCGCCATACAGACAAGGAAGAGCAGCAGCCAAGACGAAATGTCTGTTTCATCGAGCTCTTCAGTGTCACGCGGAGGCCCAGTCCCGCGGCGGCCTGGACCACGGCGCCCGCTCATCGTGTCCTCCAGGGAGCCGCACCGGCCGCCGCAGGAGAAGCTGGACGAGTTCTGGAGCCGGTTCAGCGCCAGGACCCCGGGCAAGGCGACCCGGCTCCTCCCGCAGAAGGAGTACGGCGACGGCGGCGACGGCGGCGGCCGGCAGCGGCGGCGCTCGTCCAAGGGCGTGGGCAGCACGCAGCGGACGCAGGCGTCGTACGAGGAGGCGGCGGCCCAGTGTAGGGCAAAGGTAGCGCAGATCGTCAAGGAGTCGCGCCGCGTCAACCAGCGCTACCGCGACCCGCACTTCGACATCGAGCTGGACCTGCAGCTGGGCATGCGCGACTGCCTCGAGGCCCTCGACAACATCAAGCCGACGGCGCCGCCCCCGAGGCGGCCGGGCCCCAGCAACCGCGGCGACGCCCAGGGGGAGGGGCAGGGGCAGGGGCAGGAGAGGCAGGGGCCGCCGTCCGGGGGCCGCAGGCGGCGGCTGGGCGGGTTCGAGCCCGGCTTCATCCCCATGGCGGTGCACAGGGTGGTGGATATATTCGACAAGCCGCAGTTCTACATCGACGGCCCGACGGCCAACGACGTGCGGCAGGGCCGCGACATGGGCGACTGCTGGCTCCTCGCGGCGCTGTGCACCATGAGCAACAAGCCGGGGCTCATCGAGCGCATCTGCGTGGCGCACGACCAGGCCGTGGGCGTCTACGGCTTCGTCTTCCACCGCGACGGCGGCTGGTTCAGCGAGATCATCGACGACAAGCTGTACCTGACCAAGCCCGACTACGACGACGGCTACCTCGAGCGCATCCTGTTCGAGGACCGCGAGCGCGGCGCCGACTCGGAGCAGGTCTACAAGAGCATCTACCAGTCCAACAGCGGCGCCCTCTACTTTGCGCAGTGCGAGAACCCAAACGAGACGTGGCTGCCGCTGCTCGAAAAAGCCTTCGCCAAGGCCCACAACGACTACGAGAGCATCGAGGGCGGCTTCACGGGCGAGGCGCTCGAGGACCTCACGGGCGGCGTCACGTCGGAGCTGTACACGAGCGACATCCTGGACACCGAGTACTTTTGGAACGAGGAGCTGATGAAGGTCAACCAGGACTTTCTGTTCGGCTGCTCCACCGGCGTCTGGGGCCGCGGCCTGGGCGAGAGGAAGGGGATCGTGGAGCTGCACGCATACAGCGTCATGAGGGCCGTCGAGGTCGAGGGCCAGCGGCTGATACTGCTCAAGAACCCTTGGGGCAAGCATGAGTGGAAGGGCCCCTGGTCGGACGGCAGCAGGGAGTGGACGCCCGAGTGGCTGTCGCGGCTGGGCCACCGCTTCGGCGACGACGGGGCCTTCTGGATCGCGTACGAGGACCTGCTGCGCAAGTACCAGGCCTTTGACCGCACCCGCATCTTCGGCCCGGACTGGAAGGTCACGTCCATCTGGACGACGCTGTCGGTGCCGTGGACGCACGAGTACCACGACACCAAGTTTGCCTTTTCCATGTCCCGCCCGGGCCCCGTGGTGCTGGTGCTCTCGCAGCTCGACGACCGCTACTTCCGCGGCCTCGAGGGCCAGTACCGGTTCGAGCTCAGCTTCCGTGTCCACGCGGCGGGCGCGGACGAGGCCGACGAGTACCTGGTGCGCAGCCAGACTCCCTACCGCATGAACCGCAGCGTCAACGTGGACCTGGACCTGGATGCGGGCGACTACACGGTTCTGGTGCGCGTCGACGCCGAGCGCGACACGGGCATCCTGCCGCCCGAGGACATGGTGCGCGCGCTCTCGCGCGCGCGCCGCGACAAGCTGGCCCGCGTCGCCCTGTCCTACGACCTAGCGCATGCCAAGGGGGCCATCGTCGAGACGGACGCGGAGAGTGAGGCGCGGCTGGCGCGTGAGCGGCGGAGCCTCGAGCGGTCCCGGCGCCGCATAAAGAAGGCCATGACGGAGCAGCGGCGGCGACAGTACCTGAATGAGTCGGCGAGGCTGCTCGAGGCCCGGAGGGAGGTGGCGAAGCGTAAGGAGAGGAAGGAGAGGAGGAAGGAGAGAAGGAAGGCGCGGGCGGAGAAGAAGGAGAAGGAGGAGAAGGAGGAGAAGGCGGCGCAGGAAGAGAGGGAGGAGAAGGGAAAGGGAAATACTGGCGAGGACAAGAACGGCGCAGTAGCATCTGGCGGTGAAAAGACGGCTCAGACAGGCCAGAGGGGAGAAAAGGATGCGACAAAGACTGCCCATGTCCCGGAGAAAGGGGCGGCTGAGTTGGAAACAAACAAAGCTGGGCAAGGCCAAGCGCAAGCAGCACAGCCAAATGCTTCCGCTCCTGCGCCGGCAAAGGAATCGGCGCCTGGGAAACAAGCCCCGAGTGTGCCCATCACGGCTCCCACACCCAAGCCTTCAGGGGCTCCCAACACCGAAGAGCAACGCTCCCCACAGCAACCGGTCACGGCTGTCATGCCTGGCACCGGGCCTCCCACCACCGACGCCTCTCCACAAGATGCATCAACCCAGACCGCTGATGGCCCATTGAACGAGGAGCTCCAAGTGGGCAACGCACCGCCGGAGCATACGCACGAAGCATTGCCGCGGCCCCCGAGCCCCCCGAGCCTCGACCTCCCACACCAGCACGCGCACATGCAGTTCCCTCCGTTTCCAGGAGGCCGGGGCGTGTCTCCTCCCCCTGAGCTCGCCCGCCGCACACCCTGGCAACAGCAACAACGTCGAGGTCCACCGCCCCATCACCTGTCAGGCCCGCCACGGCACCGCCGCGCCGGGCCTCACCTCCACTTCCACCCCGCAGTACTCCCGCCCCCAGGCTTGGGATCCGACGCAGGCGGCGGCGGTGGCGGCGGCGAGGACAACAACGAAGGCTCCGACTGCGAGATATCAAGCGTCTCGAGCATCTCGGACGTGTCGGACCGTGAGGTCGAGTTGCAGCTGGAGCTGATGCGCATGGACGGCCAGCTCCCCATGCCCTCCTCCTCCTTGCGCAGGCGCAGGCGCAGGGCGTCCGCCGACGGCCCGACCGGCAGCCCCAACGCCGGACGGCCCCCGCGGCTGCCGCTATTCCCCGGGGGCCCGCCGCCACAGCCACGGCGGCGGAGCTCGGACGACGCCGAGCTGGAGAACGACCCGTGGAACGCCGTGGCGGTCGTCGGGCTGCGCGTGTACTACAAGATGGGTGAGGGCGAGGCGCAGGACGCAGACGTGGTGACGCTGCGCATCGTGCGCCCCACCGGCGTACCCGACGATGACAGCGACAGTAGTGACAGCGACAGCGAGGGGGAGGGGGCTGGCGCCAGGGACCGCTGGCCGTGGAACAGGAAGAAGGTCAAGATACCGGACGTCGACGACAGCGCGCGGGACGCGGTCCTGGTGGCTGCGAGCCTGGAACAGAGCGGCGACGGCCGTGCGAAGGATGGGGACGCCGGGAAGGTTGGGCATGTCAAGGACGAGGACGACGAGAAGAAGCCGATCAAGGCCGAGCCGGCGGAGGAGGAGCCAGTCAAAAGTTGAGGCTGAGGCTATCGACCCAAGGAGCGAGGCAGGGGAGAGATCTTGATGCAAGTTGCACACATGAGCAGCCCACCGAGAGAAGCGTGGATGGATCCTAAAGGATGACAACATACGGACACTAGGCACAGGACAGACAGACAGACAGACAGACAGACAGTGACATGACGATATAATGTAACTTTTTCGCCTTGTTTGTTCATTGTATGCCCACCAAGCCGGGCGAATAAACATTGGGTATCACATCTCCGTCGCCCCACATCCATCGTATACATGGTGCCTTTTACACCAAAGAAGCCATCAGAACCTATCCAAGAGGTCAGCCACCTTCCTCCTCTCCTCGTCCGCAACCGCAACAGGCGCGTCGTCGTCATCCTGCCCACCCCGGCCCTCCTCCCGGACGGCGCGGAGGACGCGGTCGCCGACACGGGCCATGAGGATGCGCGTGCGTTCCAACTCACGCTCGAGCTCGCCGTCCTTGGTCACCAGGTTCCTCTGCAGCGACTCGCCCCCGTCGCCGCCGCTGATAAAGGGCACGAGCCCGCGCCGCATATCGCGCAGCCGCCGCGCGCGCGCCTCGGCCTCCCCGCGCGCCGCCGAGAGGTCCTGCAGCCGCGCCGACAGGTCGGCGTAGCGGCGCGCCTCCATGGGCCGGGCCGAGACGTCCTGGTCCGAGGGCCAGGACGGCGGGAGGGCCGCAATGGTCTGCGGGTCGGCTGCTGGGAGTTCAGCGGGTGGCCATGATGGGCTCGGACGGGGGAGAAAGAGAGAGACTCACCAAAATCCGCGCTGAGCGTCAGGCCGGCGTCTCCGCCGCCGTCGTCATGGCCGTCCTCGCCCGCACGCGGCGCCCCGCCGTCGCGCTCGGCGGCCAGGTACAGCTGCTCGAGCTGCTCGGCGACGTGGCGGGTGGCGGGCGGGGAGTAGACGCGGGCCGAGTGCTGCTGGAGGCGGTGGTTGAAGCGCGCGAGGGCGTCGTCGACGGCCTTTTGCGGCAGCGGCAGCGGTGGCGCGGTTCCGGTGGCGGCGGCGGCGGCGCTGCTGTTGGCCTTGGACCACGCGCGCGACGGCGCCAGCGGCTGCGACAGGAGCCGCGTCTGCTCGGCGATGAAGTCCTGCTTCAGCGCCTGGATGGTCGGGGGCGCCGGCGACGCCATGTTGCGTTGTCTCTGCCGGACCGTGCTCGATGTGAGCTCAACTGGCGGCTGGGGCTGTAGTCGCTAAACGGGGCGCTGAAGGGCTACTGTGTAACTGGAAGCACGGCGATTCAGGGGCCGGGGAGCTGGGCTGTTGTGCCCCGGAATTCAGCGCAGCACACCCACAGCCAACCAGAATACAATTGGCACCCTGCCGCGCGCGCCTGCTGCAGGACCAGAATCCAATGCGGTTTAGTGGGGTTGGTTGGGCGGGCCGTCCAAGGACTGGGCCTGGCTGGGGTGACGCGAGCGGAGGTCAAATTGGCCAAGACGCGAGTCGAGACGCGGTTTGCTAAATTGATTCGCGTCTCCTAGGACCTTTTCACAGTAGCTTTAATGGTCTATTGATCTGTGCTGTCGACCTGGAGATGCTGCCTCGCCCACCACACCCACCCTACCTCTCCGACTCTCTACCTAGACAAGCACTTCGGAGCGTTTCTGGACCACATTACAAGGCCCGTGACCACGGATAATAAGAAACCCTTTGTCCCAACAGATCAAGCAACCTCTGTCTCCATCACGTCCGTCTCTTCCCTCACAACAGCTATCCCCAGCGACAATGGGCTCCGGCGACGTCACTGCCCGCACTCCAGCAAAGGCCGGGGCTACCTCCAAGAAGCCTGCGGGCTCCGCTTCGACCGGCAAACAGGCTAGCATCCTGGGCTTCTTCTCCAAGACCGCGACCCCCTCGTCGTCGACAAGGCTGCCCGCCCGTCCCGCAGAGCCGGCCTCGTCGCCATGCCTCAAGGAGACCACAAAGTCCAACGCCATGGCCCGGAGGCAGCGCCTCTCGGAGAAGGCAACCCCCGTCCCCGGCAGCGACGCCATCGAGCCCCGCAGTCCCCAAGACGAGAACAGGGGCGCATCGACGGTCAAGCGTGCCATCAGCAACATGGCCATCGCCAGCAGCAGTCCCATTAAAAAGGGGAGGAAGACGGTGAACTACGCCGAGTCCTCGGACGATGACGACAAGGATGTGTTCGCCGCCCTGAACTCTCGCCAGAGCCAGCGCCGCAGCCGTTCACGGCCCTCGGTCTTGCAACACGACAACGATGACGAGGACGATTTCAATCCCGAGCCCGAGGCCGCTGGCACCGCCGACTACGACGATGGTAAGCAATGCCGTTGCCTTGACCGGCCCAACCTTGAAGCTAACGGGATTGTTCGTGTAGAAGCTATGGATGATTTCATCGTGTCGGACGACTCAGATGCCCCCTCCAAATCCAAGAAGCGGAAGCGGCCAAGCAGCAAAGCCGCACCACCGAGGAAGCGCAACGTCGCCTCGTCCTCGCCACCCCCAAGGGACAGGGTCAGGGAAGAGGCCGAAGAGGAGGACGAGGAGATTGGTGACGACATGCCGCGCACCTCGACCACGCAGCAATGGCGCTACGACCCTGAAAATCCTGCTCCCGCTCCCCAGCCAGGAGACAAGGCGCCTCGCAAGCCAGCCCCAAAGGCCGCAGCCTTCAAGCACAAGGACAGCAAGCCCCATACCAAAAAGTCGGAGCAGGATGATCGCTATGTCTGGCTTGCCAGTATCCGTGACATGGACGGAAACAAGCCCGAAGACGCGGAATTCAACCCGGCCACCATCTACATCCCGCCCTCGGCCTGGAAGAACTTCTCGCCCTTCGAGAAACAGTACTGGGAGATCAAGCAGAAGCTGTGGGACACGGTCGTCTTCTTCAAGAAGGGCAAGTTTTACGAGCTCTACGAGAACGACGCCACCATCGGCCACCAGCTGTTCGATCTCAAGCTCACAGACCGCGTCAACATGCGCATGGTTGGCGTCCCCGAGAGCTCGCTCGAGATGTGGGTCAACCAGTTCGTGGCCAAGGGGTACAAGGTCGCCCGTGTCGACCAGATGGAGTCGGCCCTGGGCAAGGAGATGCGCGAGCGCGACGACCCGGGGGCCAAGAAGGCCAAGGGCGCCGCCAAGGCCGACAAGATCATCCGCCGCGAGCTGGCCTGCATCCTCACGGGCGGCACCCTAGTCGAGGGCAGCATGCTTCAGGACGACATGGCCACGTACTGCGTCGCCATCAAGGAGTCGACCCTCAACGGCAACCCCGCCTTCGGCATCGCCTTTGTCGATGCCGCCACGGGCCAGTTCTTCCTATCGCAGTTCGAGGACGACGTCGACCTGACGAGGCTCGAGACCTTTGTGGCCCAGACCTGCCCGCGAGAGCTGCTCCTTGAGAAGGCGCGCTTGTCGACCAAGGCCCTGCGTATCCTCAAGAACAACACGACCCCGACCACCATCTGGAACTATCTCAAGCCCGGGGCCGAGTTCCCCGAGCCCGACGCCGCCGTCCGCGACCTCGACAGCAGTGGCTACTTTTCCAAGGCCGCCGAAGGGGAGGCTGGCGATGCGGACCAGGAGGAGGCATGGCCCGAGGCGCTCGAAAAGTCGCGCGACAAGAGCCTGCTGATATCGGCCGTGGGCGCCCTCGTGCACTACCTGCGTGTGCTGAAGCTCGAGCGCAGCCTCTTGTCCCAGGGCAGCTTCGAGTGGTACAGCCCCATCCACCGCAACGGCACGCTCATCCTGGACGGCCAGTCCCTCATCAACCTCGAAATCTTCTCCAACAGCGTCAACGGCGGGCCCGAGGGCACGCTCTTCAGCCTCCTCAACCGCTGCATCACGCCCTTTGGCAAGCGGCTTTTCCGCCAGTGGGTCTGCCACCCGCTGTGCAACACCCAGAAAATCAACGAGCGCCTCGACGCCGTCGACATGCTCAACGCCGACCGCAGCATCCGCGAGCAGTTCTCGTCGCTGATGAGTAAGATGCCCGACCTCGAGAGGCTGATCTCGCGGATCCACGCCGGCGTCTGCAAGGCCGAGGACTTTGTGCGCGTGCTCGAGGGCTTCGAGCAGATCGACTACGCCATGTCCATGCTGTCGGCCTTTGGCGGAGGCAACGGCCTGGTCGACCGGCTGATCGGGTCCATGCCCGATCTCAAGGAGCCCCTGGGGTTCTGGAAGGGCGCCTTTGACCGCAAGAAGGTCCGGGACCAGAAGCTCCTGGTCCCAGAAAAGGGCATCGAGGAGGACTTTGACGAGAGTGCCGCCAACATCGCCCGCATCAAGCGCGAGCTCCACGCGCTCCTCGACAGGCAAAAGGCGGCGCTCAAGTGCAAGACGCTCAAGTTCACCGACGTGGGCAAGGAGATCTACCAGGTCGAGGCGCCCAAGGCGACCAAGGTGCCCAAGGACTGGAGGCAGATGTCGGCCACCAGCAGCGTCAAGCGGTACTACTTTGGCGAGCTCGACGAGCTCGTGCGCGAGCTGCAGGAGGCCGAGGAGACGCACTCGCAGATCGTCAAGGACGTGGCCGCCCGCTTCTTCAAGCGCTTCGACGTCGACTACGAGGTCTGGATCCAGGCCATCCGCATCATCTCGCAGCTCGACTGCCTCATCTGCCTGGCCAAGGCGTCGTCGTCGCTGGGCGACCCCAGCTGCAGGCCCGTCTTTGTCGACGACGAGCGGAGCGTGCTCGAGTTCGGGGAGCTGCGCCACCCCTGCATGCTCAACACGGTCGACGACTTCATCCCCAACGACATCAAGCTAGGTGGCGACGAGCCCAACATCAACCTCCTGACGGGCGCCAACGCTGCCGGCAAGTCGACGGTACTGCGCATGTCGTGCATCGCCGTCATCATGGCCCAGATCGGCTGCTATGTGCCGGCGAGGTCGGCGCGCCTCACGCCCGTGGACCGCATCATGTCTCGGCTCGGGGCCAACGACAACATCTTTGCGGCGCAGTCGACCTTCTTTGTCGAGCTGTCCGAGACCAAGAAGATCCTTTCGGAAGCGACGCCGCGCTCGCTGGTGATTCTGGACGAGCTCGGGCGCGGTACGTCGTCGTACGACGGCGTGGCGGTGGCGCAGGCGGTGCTGCACCACGTGGCCAGCCACATCGGGTGCGTGGGCTTCTTCGCGACGCACTACCACTCGCTGGCGACCGAGTTCGAGGGCCACCCCGAGATCCGGGCGCGGCGCATGCAGATCCAGGTGGACGAGGGCCGCCGCCGCGTCACGTTCCTGTACCGGCTCGAGGACGGTGTGGCCGAGGGCTCGTTTGGCATGCACTGCGCCGCCATGTGCGGCATCAGCGGCCGCGTCATCGAGCGCGCCGAGGTGGCCGCCCGCGAGTGGGAGCACACGAGCCGCCTCAAGGAGAGCCTCGACCGCGCCCGCACCGGCTGCTACATCCCGCTCGGCGTCCTTAGCGACGTCGCCGGCCTGCTGCGCGACGACGACGAGGCCGAGTCGAGGGTCACGGAGCGGGGGGTGGACGTCCTGCTGCGGGCCATCGCCTCCCTGTAAGGTGGGTACCTACCTACTACCAATACATGTGTGATGACGACTATACTATGTGTGATGGGTATATAGCCACCCACCCACTTAAAAGTGGCACCCTAACTCGCGACAAGGGATCAGCTCAATTGACGTGCACAAGTTTGAACAGTTTTCCGTCGGGTTGCAGGAAGTACCTTTTTAAGCAGGGGATGGGTGCCCTGGCTTTCTTAGGCTGTATTGGGTAAGGCGCGGCCACAGCGGGCTTGGCGATTGACTGGGGGGTGTGTGGTTTCTTTGGGAGGGAAAGATGAATGGCTGGACCAGGCAATGCCTGCTGCGGGCCGCGGGCCCCGTCGACGATCAGCTGGCCGGCCTGTGAAACCTCAAGGTGGCACAAGGGGGGGACCAAAGGGGGCGCCGCAACCGCACCTATCGCTCTCTCAATGGGCCTTGACATATTTTTTGTTTTCTTCCTTCTTTCTTCTTTGCTGACGCGAGGGATGGTTTTGCTCTTGTCCGGATCTTGTGAAACATGGGGGAGGTGATGGCAGGCAGGGGTTCAGGGGGTTATGTACGGACTTGGGCTGCTTCTTTTCTCTCCTTCGTCCCGTTTGTAGGTACAGCTGTACCTTTGCTTGCTTTGCCTAGTCCGTCTAATCTGTACTTTGCTAATTTAATCAAATAATACCTACCAACACGTATCCGTAGCCAGCCAGCCAGCCAGTCGGCCTCTGATGAATACTTGCTGCGATGGGATGCATGGTGCCGATTTAGCACTCGCTCTCGGGAGGGCCGTCTGGTCGCTCAATGCTGTGCACTCGACCCTATTCCAGATCATCTCGACCCTGCCCTTGTCTCTGATCATCTCGACCCTACCCTTGTCTCTGATCCACTCGGGGGGGGGGGGGGGGGGCCACCG